CTCCCTCTCCCTCTCTCCTCTCCCCTCCCCCTCTCCTCTCTCTTCCATTCTCTCTCCTCCATCTCCCCCCTCTCTCTCTCTCTCCCTCTCTCTCCCCCTCCTCTCTCTCTCTCCCTCTCCCTCTCTCTCTCTCTCCTCTCTCTCCCCCTCTCTCTCTCTCTCTCCTCTCCTCTCTCTCTCTCTCTCTCTCTCTCTCTCTCTCTCTCTCTCTCTCTCTCTCTCTCTCGTCTCAGAGGCGGAGCTGAGATGTGCCCCACAGGCTCGGTGACCTGCAGGACAATGCTCAGTCTGTGAAAGAGCTGCAGAGAGAGGAAGATGCCAGCATGAGTGTCCTGGAGACAGGATCAGGGAGTAAGCCCAGGACAAACTGCCGCCACCTCCTCCCCTGGTGCGGTCCGCTGTGAGGAGCGAGCCTTCGCCCGCTGGACACAGGCGAGCTCTGCAGTGTGTGCGCGCTGCAGTTGGTCAGTCCCGGGAGTTCTCAGGTTTTCGAGGGCGGGTTGTCCCTAAACTTTGTAGTGTCAAATTCTATTTCTGCCTTCTGGTTGGGAGGGGGCTTGTTCTAATATGGTCTGTTCTGAAGTGTAATAGTATTCTCCTTCCCCAGTTCTCCTAATTTTCATTATAACGATAGTATAAGGAACGGGTCCCTGTCTGGTCAATTTTCCTCCCTCTTGGTGCATCTGGTTTTAGCCAGCTCCCGCTGTGGACTCCTGGTGACCACCACAGGAACTGCCTGTTGTAAACAGTCCCGTTGGTCCTGTGTGGAGTGGGGCTCTGGGGAGAGGACCTAGCGGCTTACCAGCAGGGGTTGTCCAACCCTACTTCCTCATCCCACTTGTCAGGAACTTGCCCCAACTTCTTTCTATCCTGCTTTGTCTCCACTCTCGAAACCACCAGGCCAGTTAGAATCTTTCCTTTTAAAGTTCACTGATTATTCTCTTGTAATCGCAGTGTTTATTCCAATGTTTTGCATGACCATTGTTCTTGGGCCTCTGGTGAAATCCAAGGTCCTTATGAGCAGGCCTTTCCCTGGATTACCTTTCATCAAACCTCTCCCTGGAGTTCTGTCCTATTCACCTTGCTTTATTTATACAGCACAATCTCACTCTCTTCAGAAGAGAGCTCCGATCCGAGGCCCTTTGCCATCAAATGGAGAGAAGTAAGTATTTCTACTTTGCATGTTTGGTTCCAGGTCCTGATCATTCCTTGTTCTTCTGATTCTCACCACAGCCTGAGAAGATGTCATCCCCACAGCTAACGGGGCAGGCTTGGATTTCAAAGTTGTTTCCACTACACAGGGCAAGTTATACACATGAATTCTCTTTTAAGAAAACCAGAGGCCCGATGCACGAAATTCTTGCTTCCCTCTCACCCGCTCACAATCAGGGACCCTTTGAGGGATGTTCGAACCCTCACTCCTAACCGCCTGTCTGCTCACTCCTTACCACTTGGCTCCCCACTCCTTCGTGCTGCCGCAGAGGTGGGAGAGGCTCCTGCCACCACCGCTGCACTCACCAGCCATGAGCCGGCTTCTGGCTTAGTGACGCTTCCGCTATGGGAACGCACTGATCACCAGGGGGCAGCTCCTATGTTGAGTGTCTGCCCGCGTGGTGGTCAGTGTGCATCATAGTGACTGGTCATTCTGGTTGTTCTGTCATTCTGCCATAATGGATGCTGGGCTTTTATATATAATATAGACTAGAGGCCTGGTGCATAAAATTTGTGCACGGGGGTGTGTGACCCTCAACCCTACCTACACCCTCCCAACTGCTTGCCTGCCTGCCTTCCTGATTGCCCCTTAACCACTTCTGCCTGCCTGCCTTCCTGATCATCTCCTGACCACTCCCCTGCCAGCCTGATTGATGCCTAACTGCTCCCCTGCCAGCCTGATTGCCCCTAACTGCCCTCCTCTGCAGGTCTGGTCACCCCTAACTGCTCTCCCTTGCATGCCTAGTCCTCCCCCCAGCCCCCCTCCCCCCCAAAAAAAACCAAAAAAAAAACTGCCCTCCTCTACAGGCCTGGTTTCCCCCAACTGCTCTCCCCTGCAGGCCTGGTTTCTCTTCAACTGCCCTCTTCTGCTGGCCTGGTCACCCCTAACTTCCCTTCCCTGCAGGCCTGATTGCCCCCAACTGCCCTCCCTTGTAGGCCTTGTCCCTCCCAACTGCCCTCCCCTGCTGGCCATCTTGTGTCCACATGGGAGCATCCATCTTTGACCACATGGGAGCAGCCATCCTCTGTGTTGGAGTGATGGCCAATTTGCATATTACTATTTTATTATATAGGATATAGGCCTGGTGCATGGGTGGGGGTTGGCTGGTTTGCCCTGAAGGGTGTTCTGGATCAGGGTGGGGGTTCTTTTGGGGTGTGGGGTGGCCTGAGGCCTGTGGTGGTTTTCAGGCCGGCCACGCCATTGGCAATCCAATCAGAGGCCCTGGTATCTGGAATTTATTTACCTTCTACAATTGAAACTTTGTAGCCTTGAGGAGAGGCCAGGGCAGGCAGGAAGCTTAGCTTCCGCCCTCACTGGGAAAACCCAAGCCTCCTGCTCGCGCATGGCTGCAGCCATCTTGGTTGGGTTAATTTGCATACTTGCTCCTGATTGGCTGGTGGGCATCGCTAGTGGGCATAGCAGAGTTATGGTCAATTTGCATGTTTCTCTTTTATTAGCGTAGATTAGTATTTCCAGAAAGAAACCACACCTCTTTCTTCCTTCCCTTCCTGTGCCCTTTTCTGAAGCCTAGACCTTTGTTCTGCCAGCATGCAAACTGGCTAACAACAGGTTCAAGGATGATTACAAGTGGGATGTGGCCTGACTCAGAGCATTCTGGGAATTTGCAGCAGAGCTGGCATCAAAGAATCCCCATCTCTCTACTCTGAAGTAGGAGGTGGACCTCCCAGGGTATCAAATGAGGCCTTTCAGAGGCTAGGCATGCTTAGAAATCCCGTCCAAAATGCAAGTCAACTTTGCCAACTAACAAAGGCCTTATTTCTGAAAGCCTGCACCTCTTGGGGAATCTTTGCTTATACCTCCACTGACCCTCCTCCAATCAAAAGGCAAGAAAATTCTCCTCTTTGTCTAAGACAAAAATAAACAAGGAGATGGATTCTATACAGGACATTGCACTAGGGAGAGTACTCCTGTGTGGACGAAAGGGGGCCATGTGCCAACCTGACAAGCTCAGGGGAGGCCTACCTGGCGGCTTTGCAAACTCAGAGACCTAAAGTAACCCCAAAGGATGGTCTGAAATGAAAACGTTTTAAACTAAAAAGCAGTTTATGGTGGGTAGTCATGTCCTAGGCCGGTATCTTCCCTGACAAGGTGGGTCTTTACCTTAGCTGAGCCTGTCTATTGTCCTTTTGATTCTACCATCCTATCTAATAAAGAGGGAATATGCTAATTGACCATCACACCCTCACAAAGATGGCGGCGTCCACAGCCAATAAGGAGGGAATATACTGACTGCCATGCCTTCACAGATGGTGGCACCCAGTATCCTCAGCCCCACCAGGGCAGCAGGTGCGTGGCACAGCTGGGCATGCCCCCAGGCAGGTCCAGCCACTCACATGCCTGGTCCGGAGCCCCCCAGTCCTCTCAGCCCCCCCTTCCCCGGCACCCTCAGGGCTGGCCCAAGGTGCAGGCAAGCCTCAGAGGGCAGCTACCCAGCTGCCCAGGGCCAGTGTGAGGCACAGGTAACCAGGGCCAGCCAAGGTTTGCACTGTTGGCAGCAGAGGTGTGATGGGGCATCGCCCGCCCCTGAGGGCTCCCAGACTGTGAGAGGGGGCAGGCCAGGCTGAGGGACCCCCTCCAGTGCATGAATTTTCATGCACCGGGCCTCTAGGAACACATAGTTGGAATATTGTGATTTTCCTTTTTCTGGACGCATCAGATCACAAACTCCCTCATCGCTAGTGGGTTAATTGCTGACTATTAATTATCCTGCACCCACCTGTGTAAAGGAAGTATGTGTATCTTTTTATTTTTTACCCAATCCCAGAGGTTTCCCTGCTTTGCCCCGTCCCCCTCCCCCAATCTATCACCAATGGATTTCATGTAATCCACTTACTCTTTGGATTATAATGTATAAATTGTTGAATCCTAAATCAGCGAGATAGATACAAGACGTCTTAATGAGACAATTAATTAGGAGCCATTTATTGCATGGCCCAGAGGGAGGTGTTTCTTCCATATCTCTGAGCGAAGACACAGAGGAAGTTTCCCGTATTTATACCTC